TTAATAAATGCATACAATAATAATATATGTAATAATAATATTAAACACTTTATCCCGAATAATAATGATCATACAAAATGGAAATTTTCGCCATTATGTAATCCGATGACAGATGGGAACTAATAGCTGCTTCTTTTTGAACACATAAATTAGGTTTCAGCAGCTTGATGGAGATTGTTTCGGTAAACTTATGGAGAATGGAACTCTTTAGCCTATTGATAATTTTGAATCGTCTTGCGACGTCCACCTCATGACCCGTGTCAAGATGATGCCTGGCGATGGCACTGTTTTGAGCATTTGTTCCCTTCAGACATAGGCTTTTTGGTACATTTTCTTCCAATGTAACTGCTCCCGTAGATCTATGTAAATTTGCATATACAGTTGGAGTTAACATGAGAAGGATATCTATTGACTTTTGATTGCACCAAAGAGCAAGTTGTTCGATAGACGGGAACCAACTTAGCTGCAGGATGGGCTCTGCCTAGTGACGTCCTCAATCTTCTGTTGACAATTACTGCAATATTTTCACTTTTACAATCAAGTTGAATGAAGACGGGCTTTTTTTCAACTGTGATTCGCTTAACATTTGAGGCTTCGAATCTTCCTTACTTGTTAATGAACCTTTGGGGGTAACCTTTGCTTTTCAGTATCTTTTCGAGAAACATAAATTATTCTTCTAATTTTCCCTGTAGAGCATATTTTCTTGGCTCTATAGTATGGAGTTTCGATTAGTCCGCGTTTAAAGCTATTTGGACAAAAACCATTAAGATGTAGTTATTGTCCTCACCATGTAGGCTTTCGGTGAATTGACCTCTGGAGACTACCATCTTCTAGGCGTTGCATGACAATGTTGAGAAAGTGGAACTTTCCAACATTTTCATGTTCCACAGTAAATTCAATATTTCTATGTGAGTCGTTGAATAATCTGAGTAGGTAGGAAGTATGACTTTCATTGTTGCACACTACAAATGTGTTATTGACATTAGGACAATAAGAAGTTGCTTCAACTCTGTTCTTTCAAGGTTGGACAAGAAGCGCTTATCAGTGTGACAACTGCTTATTTCCACCCTCTCGTTCATCGGATTACATAATGGCGAAAATTTCCATTTTGGATGATCATTATTATTCGGGATAAAGTGTTTAATATTATTATTACATATATTATTATTGTATGCATTTATTAAGTTATTGATTCTTGTTTAAAAATGAACTCTGTGCAAGTATATTAAAATTGTTTCTGTAGATATACTTAATAATGACTTTTGTATGTAAGCAGCTGATGAGAAGCCGACGAAATAAATGATGATACCATCTTATTCTTCCAAATTTGTTGCTCATGCTTTATTGAAATTCATTGAGGGTAATCAATGTAATAATTTTTTTCTCAGTAATGTATATTATCCTTTGCGTCTTTATTTCTGCACAAACAAGCGTTTTATTTTCTCTTATTTTACCCATGGCTATTCGCACACACACACACACAGAACTTTCCATTCTGCTATCTTTCAATATTTATGTGGCGTTCATAACCAGAATGAGTAAAATTCAATTTGAAAGCTTATCATCAGCATTCACCACTATATTATTATTTCCTTTAATTCCTAGAGGAACATAGGGCTTCAGCTGCGCATCTCCATTGCCTTTGGTTCTCTGCTAGAGTTTTCACCTGGCTCCAAGTCTGCCCACACGCTTCCATCTCCTCTTCACATTACCTCCTCCAAGTCACCCTCGCACTGACGACCAACTCGCCGCTCTCCTTTCGGGTTTCACTCGAGCAATGGCTTGTCTAGTGATATCACTTGATGGTTCCCCCAGAGTATGGCTAATCCACCTCCATTTCTTCTTGCCTATTTGTTGCACAATCGGTTCCTGGTTGGTTCGCTACCAGAGATCCCTATTGCTGATCTTTTCTGGTCAGCCATCTGATCTTCAGTATTGGGAGAGGACAGCTGTTGATGAAAATCTGTGGTTTGTTTGAGATGCTCTTTGTGACGCGCCAAGTCTCTGATCCGTATAATGAGTAGCACTGACTGACTTCACATTCGAGTTGAAAATCCGGATCTTGTTTTTCATGCCGAGTGCTATTGACCTCCACACTATATACACACACATTCATTGCCATTCGTAATCATTCAATTTAGTACTACCTCTGTGCCATGTGGTTTGAGCTGTAATCTAATAACTATTCCCTCATATATATATATATATATATATATATATATATATACTTCTCGGATTTTCAACCCTAATTTATCTATATTATTGAAAATAAAAAGTAATAGCGTCAATAACAATTGTTCCTTAGCTTGTGTGCATCGATGGTCAAATGCATCAGATGAGCTCCTGACCCTCACCTAGTTTACGAACAGATGGTAAGCCAGTAAATAAGCTAGGTAACCCCCTCCTGAACCCCCAACCTGTAAAAGCGACAGCAGTGCTACTGAGACTTCAAAACATAAAACTCTTGAAATGCAAGGGACAAAAAGTGATTTTCTTAGCTTATACAGACATAGATTTGTAGAATCTGAAGAAGTTATCGAAAGGATGATTCTTTGTTCACTAAGCAACGATTTGAAAAATTTGCAGTGGATGCCTTTAAACAGTTGAAATTACGGGTACCATGCAGCTTTAAATAGAAACACTTGCAGTGTGCATTGAGTAATTCGTGTTTCTAAATGAATCGCTCATTTCCTACCCCCTCTTCATCTCCAAATGAATTGATTATATTTGATGGAATAAAATCCGAAGTCATTTACTCCTTTACTGATTTCTACAGGCTTACTGTATAATAAAAAAAATAAAGACAAATTATTTCGTAATCAAGATAGTTTTCTATTGTTTGGTTTGTAAGGGTTAGTTTTGTTTTTACGAGTTGATGACGGATTGCTATCAGTTTGGGAACCACTTAAAATCAGGAAGTACTGCACAGCTGTTTTATCCTAGTTTGGGAATCATCGCCAGTATGCACCCACCTTCAGGAGTCGAATCCAGGACCTTCCGGCTACCAGGCAAGGTCGTATACCATTCAGCCACTGGGACCCGATTTAATGGCTCATCACTTCTAACTTCTGCCAATTCGTGATTTAGCGCCACCCCAACCATTTTCTTATGTGGGACATCCCACATTTGACTAGGTGGATGGACCTCACTGGTCACGACTTCTCACTAGAACTCCAGGAAACTCCATCTTGTAGCAAGTCACCTCAGTGGGTGAATACTGCCGATGATTCCCGAACTAGGATGAAACAGCTGTCCAGTACTCCCTGATCAAGATAAAATAAGATTCAGGTTCTTTGTACTACTACTACTACTTGAGTGCATGATAATATACGATTGATCACTCGATTACTATCTTCAAACACTAAGACACAGAAAACTGATTCAGAAAGCGAAAGATTTATTGATCCAGGAACAAAGGCAATATGACTAGAAATTAAAAGTTAATGAATACAAAACTCACGTTCTGACTGAATAGCACGCACTATCAAAAAAATTAAATAAAATAATCTGATGCTCACTAGCGACTGGCTCTATTCAGGCAGTTAACCTGAGGTTCTAGTGGGAAGGCGTTACCAGTAGGGTGATAAAGTGATTACTATTATTATTATTATTAGCTCCACAGACAACTTTAAAGGATAAGTCACAATAAGATTGAGTGATCTGACTCAAAAATTAAAAAAACTTCATTTTTCTGTGGTCATCTTTCATCAAACAAACTGGCTAATGTTTAGTTTTCCGTAATACGAATACAATTGTACCACTTAAAAATCAATTCGTTGAAGAGAAATACTTTTCGACTGAACAAATCGGTTTCCCTTATTATTGTTATCATTATTGCGTGGAGGGTTTCATCATGAGCTGACGTCAGTTAGAGAACCACTGGAAAACCTGTGAGTACTGGACAGCTTTTTCATCCTGCTTTTGGACTCCTCATCAGTACGCACCAACCACCGGGGTTCGAACCCAGGACCTTCTGGCTACAAGGCGAACTAACTCGTAGACCATTGAGCCACTGGGGCTCGATCCAATCGCCCATGAGTTCCAACTTCTGCCAATTCATGGCATAACGAGACCACATCATAATGTCTTCTTCGATGAGTTACTACCTCATCTTCAACCTGCTGTACCGTACAAAACCAATACCTGAAAATCATTATTATTTATTCGTTCTTTGAGTTCTTAGTGGAACAAACAGTTTCAGTGGCATATCTACGTTTCACTTAATTCCCTTTAGTCACTTACAGCTAAATCCGTGACTACGCACTAGCTCTCATTTCCTCTGCACACACGATTTCCTACATGTGATCCTGAAACACTGAATTCGTCGCTTCCTATTCGGGTTCCATCCGAGAGTGTTCCGTATGATGTTACTTGTAATTCTCCTCAGCATATTTCCTTGTTTCTTCCGCATATTTGTCAGACAATAAGTTCTTGCATCGTTTGCTTCTAGAAATCCTTGTTGCTTATTATTTCTGATGATTGGCTATGTGATCTATGTGATCCTAACGAATAGTCTGCAGTAGGCTTTTGGAAATGATTTATTTGACGCATATGGGCCAAGTCTCTGAACCACATAGAATCGCTGACTGACTTGACATATTGATGTTAAAAATCCTGATTTTCTTCCATGCATTGAGTAATAGCCTGTCTTGAATTCGCAATGATACCTGACTTTGACAACATATCTCTGCCACCTCCGGTAGTTGAGACGATGCTGATCTGGGCCGGGAAAGAGATAAAGACCCAAAGGACTATATCTTAGGATTTTTTCATACTCATGAATTAATGAATGTACTTCGTGACTTAGAAAAGTTGACTACCCACTAGTGAAGCTATAAGAGAATTGTATATTTCTACAGATTATTTTAAAAAAATACTTTTTTAATGTTAAAAATATGACAATTAACTGATAACTCACATTTATTTTATTACTTTTTGATTTGCTTCACTCTCCGCATTATACACAAAAATTGTCGAACTGAATGGCTAACTCTCTTCAGATGATGATGGTGATGATGACGCTGTATATAATTATCCAAAATATTCAACTGGTAGAAAACGTCCTTATGAAGAAGAATTCCTGTCACATCCTCTTGTTCCCTCGGCGCCTCCTCCTCCATTTGCTCCTTCTGCTGCTGCTGCCGCCGCCGGCGCCACTGCCACTGCTCAACTTCATCCTCCACATCATCCTCTTCCACATTATGAAGATCCAACTGTGAAATCAAAATTAGATATTAGCCATAATAAATATCTTACTCCACCATATAATGAAGGTGTTTCATTTCGTAGAGCTGTTAGCTTAGATAAACCAGCCTACGCATTAAGTTCATTACATGAACAGCATCAACAACCTCAAATCCAACAACAACACCAACAATACCAACGTTATCAACAGCGTCAACAACAACCACAACAATTAGAACAACAATATCGACAACCTCAACATGTAGGAGAAGAAGAAAGTTTAGAATCAAAATTTACACGCCAGTATCGTTTTAAATATCGTCTTCCATATTATTCTACATCACTGGATTATCCATCTTCATCGAGTAGTAAAGCGAGACCATTACTACATCCTGGTTATGTGCAAACGTATAATATTATTTCACCAATTGAAGAAAAAGGTGATTATGAATTAGAAACAAAACGTTATCAAAAAACAGAAGGCAAGACTAATCATCAAGATATTGATGATATAATAGAAAATAATGAAAAAGTAAGTTTAAATTTTTAATTTGGTTTTTCTTCCTTCACATTCCCAGTGGAACGCAAGGCCTCAAGGACCTGTGTTTATTTTTATAGGATGGGGTTGCTAGCCTCATGCCCAACCTTTCCTTTTTTACCAGCATTATTCCTGGCTTAGTGAGGTAAAGCAGTGCGTCGGCCGGGGATCGCACCCCGGACCATGTGCATGGTTGACGAGCGTCCTAACCGATGTGCCACCGACGCACTAAATTTGGTATGCGTTAATCAATTTATTTCAGTAGTTTAGGATCACATTTGAACAATGTTATTATTATTCGCAATAAGCATTTCGTCTCAATGTGGGGCTCGTCATCTGAATGTACTTGAAATGCTTAGTTAGGGATGGTGGGAAAACCACTGGGTTGACGAACCTGATAAGGACGAAATTTGCCTCCTGAGTCACACTTATAACCACTGTGCGTCGGTGGCACAGTGCTTAGGACTCTCGCCGACCATGTACATGGTCTGAGGTTCGATTCCCTACCGACGCACACCTGATATCTATGGTCGGCCTGCAAAATTTGAGCTACCGATATCCATGCTGAAAATTCCATACTTGTACCAAAAAATACAGTGTGGAATCAAGCTGTAATCAAAAATAAAAAAAAATAAAAAAAAATATCCACCAAGTGTTAATCCTAAGACATCGTGGAAGCGCCTGTGTTAGGGAGCCTTGATATAAACACAGGCTGAACATTTCAATTTTAGTCACTCGACAGGAAAAAGAAAATCAACTTCAATAGATAGAAACAGTTTTGTTATTGCTTGAAAAATATGAATTCATCAGCAGAATGATTATTCGAAGTCTACTGGTTCGAGTTTTGTTGTGGCTCAAAGTTTCATTTAATTTTCGATTATCACACATTACATTATGTAAAGTTATATACTATCCATCTCAATTAATCAGAAGTATATAGCTCAATGCATCTATCCTCGCTTTCCTGATTACTATTTATGGCATAAAGTAGGTCGTGCCTTGTAATCTCATTAATTTTGGTTTCCGTAGGAAACTGCGGTGACACTTTACCTCCCGAAAATGTGTAAATTACCAATTAATTTTCGTAAATTGCAAGTTAGAATACCTAACCAACACAGAAGCACAATCATCGGACATCAACAATTCAAAGTGCACCCTGTTGGCGAGCTGCCTAGAATGGTGGCCACCTTGCAAACGTGACTGATAGGATTCAGTCTGCACCAAAAACAGATGAGACTAAACAGATTACAATAGTTACTAACTAGTGACCTATCAAAAGGATCCAATACAGTCCTACAGAGGAGGTCAATCGCGAGCCAGAAGAGCTCAGTGGTAGTAACGTCTTTAACTGCAGGTGGCATTGGGTGAAGTGGATTCAAATCTCAGAAGTGATATAAGTTCCTTCAAGGTTGCAGATACGCCTTTCTGACTGGTGATTGTCAACTAGCACGAAACCTAGGTTTAGTCAAGGCTTCCTGTCGACTGCCTCCAACCATCTAGCATTAACAGAAGCACAATTGAAGCAACCAAGTCGAATGAGATGAATAACGTCTATGATAAGTTTTTCAATCCCCTTATATTGCCTTCGGAACATTTAACTTCCGGATTTTGCAGTACATGTATAAATATATATACATATATCAACACACTTAGGATCATAACATTTGTAGTGAGATGAGTTCAGCTAAAAGTTAAGCATCATTAAAGGTACTCACTGGTGTTGAAATTCAGTGATATGTCACATTACTTTACAAACCAAGAAAAGTTGGAAAACTGAAGCCACTGGCTTGAATCATAATTCTAGTCATGTTTTAATTTCGTCTTTACTAATCATCCATTGCGATAAGTATCAATCTGTTAGCTCAGAACTATCTCAGGTCACTTTGACAACAACTGGATTACAGCTTACTACCAGAATTGTAAAGTGAGCAAAAACACTACTTCGTTACAAATGAGAAGGGATTCCTACATATCCCTTAATTTTTTGGAAGATTTTTCATCTAACTTTATGCTTTTTAAACATTTGTTGGTATGTAGTTGCACGTAACCAACAGGAAACCATAGACCAAGATTTTGTGCCTATTCAAAATCATCTACAACCTGAGAAGAATTGATGTGCGCTCGGATATTTTGACCTGCAGTTACAGACGTTACTAATCAGCTGTTTCGATTTGAAATCTAAAGGTTGCAAATACACCTCACCAATTGAATGACAAAAAGCATGAAACATAGATCTAGGGCTCTTCGGATGATTCCATTCAGCTGTCTAACATTAATTTTAAAGTGCACCATACAACAACAAGTCACGCCATAGCAAACCTGACTGATACAGTTAAGTCAGCATTTGAACTAACTAAAGCCTGAACGGTGCGTCGGTTGCACAGCGGTTAGAACGCTCACCGACCATGCACATGGTCCAGAGTTCTGTCCTCGACCGACGCACTCCTTTACCTCGCTAGGCCAGAAATAATCCTGGTAAAGAAGAAAGGTTGGGTATGAGGCTAGCAACCCCATCCTGTAAAAAATAAACACTGCTACGGAAACTTCAAGCCACTAGCTTGAAGGTGCCCTATGTTCCACTGAGAACGTGAAGGAAATTAAAAAAAGCCTGAACGCATGATGTCAGTAACTATCTAATGACTAACTAATGTGAACTCAGTTGCTTCTTATGTCCCAAATAGCTGTAACAAATAAATACTCAAAATACTTATTTATTTGTTTTAATTGAGGAACAACATCCGTTTAAATGAGCGCCACTAGGATACAAGTAAAAAACGAAGCTTTTCTGACGAAATCGGCTATATATAATATTCGTATGAAATCATGAAATACAATTTTACGGATTTATCTTTGAATCCTACCTCCCATATGTGCTTACATATAGATGCTCGCTAGTGACTTGCTACGGGACGGAGTTTCCTGGATTTCTAGTGAGAAGTTCATCCAGTCAAGTGTCAGGATGAATGTCGCACCGATGACATTGGTTGGCGCCAGTCACGCTAAAAACCGCAAATTGATAGCAGTTAGAATTAATAAGCTGGCCACTGAATCAGGTCCCATTGACTGAACGGTATACGAGCTTGCCTTGTAACCGGAAGGTCATGGGTTCAACTCATGGAGATGGGTGTGCACTGGCGTTTATTCCCGAACTAGGATGAAACAACGGTAGAGTACTCCTTGCTGGCTTTCAATGGTTCTCAAAATGATAATAATCCGTGGTCAAACTCGGTAAAACAATTTTAATTCTTACAAACCAGCTCTTGAAGATCATGATGGACTAAGAAGACTACTGTGTCATTGAAAACGACGTAATTAGGAGTATACTTTATCATCATTCATATACATAAGTTTATATTTTTCTAAAATTTCATATTTTAGATTTATTCTGTACAAACCAAAGAAAAAGATGGATTTTCAAGGGATTTAGAAAAGTCAATAATACAGCCTCATCCGATGCCAACAGACATTAAAACTGATGGAAGTAAACATACTGCTGATGGTAGTATTAGTGATAATAGTAGTAGTAGTATTAATAATCATAATATTAATAAACATAAATTTTATGAAACAACAGACATGAATATATCAAAACCATTCAATGCATCATCATTCGATGAAATTATTCCATATGATAAAAGCATACCTGTAACGCATAAAGAAGTCAGGATTAGTGAAACACAACCAATTGTAGCTATTTCAAAAAAATCAATCAATTTATCATCGAATGAAATAAATATTCAGTCAAAACTTTTACCAACAAGTCATACAACACCACCGCCAACTGGTTCTGCTGGAGGTGGTGGTGGCAGTGTATTAAAAGTATCTGTACAGTTAGGTGAAAATGAAATTCAAGAATTTGCTGAATATTGGGACCATAGTATTTTTTCACGTGCAAGAGTTACTGCAGTCTGTTTAGCTGGAGTAGCTTCTGTTTGTCTAGTCTGTACTGTATGCGCCAGTACTTGGTTATATCAGGGATATGGTAAGTTGAATTATGAAAATAATGGATTATTATTATTATTGTTATTACTCTTATTAACCATATGATCTTAATTTTGATGTCTATAGATGTTATTATTGCCATTGTCGCTTCTATGATGAGTTGAACATCTACTCGATAAGTGGATAGCCCATGCATAATGTAAGCAGACTTCTGTTTATCCCTAAAAAGGCTTAAGTGATAAAACAAACCGCTTATTTGATAAAATGCAGGCAGAATAGGCATATTGCACGCGGTCACATTAGGTAGTTAATGAATTATCTATCTACATATCGGGAAAATTTACATTGCCGCTTAAAATGTGTAGGCGGTTGGAACAGATTGTTTGGTCAAATAAGGACTACAGACAACAACTTTTAAAGCTACTCAGTGTAATCACCCAATACATCACTATAGCGTTTGTTGTTTTATGTTTAATATCAACTAACGGGTATGCCAGTAAATTTGTAGATAATTGAATCTAACTGGTTCAGTTTGTGACAATGTGGGATCGCGGTGTAATCCATCCAATGCCTAATAAATATGAGTTGTTTGGTAGTAGCTGTGACACCACGACACTAGATGGCTCAATTCCATCACACGTTTTCTACTTCACGTTCCCCAGTGGAACATACGGCACCTTCAAGCTAGAGGCTTGAAGTTTCTGTAACAGTGTTTATTTTTTACAGGATGGGGTTGCTAGCCTCATGCCCAACCTTCCATCTTTGCCATTTCTATAACTGGTTTAGCGAGGTAAAGGAGTGCATCGGTGGCCGGGGATCGAACCTTGGACCATGTGCATGGTCGGCGAGCGTTCTAACCGCTGTGCCACCGATGCACAATTTCGTCACATTAATGGTTTAATATTCCTTCCCAATGAGGTGTTTGTTAGCTTTGCTGTTGTATGCCGACGATTACATATAAATCAAGACCTGTTCAATACTTATGTCCAGTATTGAATCACTGTTATTATTTCCTTGGGTTCCATGTGAAACTATGCTGGCCTCAGCAGCACATCTTCACTTCATTCTGTTCTCTACAGACCTCCTTAACTGGCTTCAAGATTTCCTATAAAGTCTCATCTATTCTCATATGATCTCCTCTATATCACCCTCGAACTGAAGCTCACTCAACTAGTGACCTTCCTTTCATCTCCCCCCCATATAGGCATATCTATTAGGCAACAGGTTCTTGACTGGTTCGTCCTCAGAGTTCCTTGCTGCTAATCCATTTTAACCGTCTGATCATCATTATGGTGTGAAGGCAACTGCTGACAAATGTCTGCAGCAGGCTGTTGGAGATTCTTTTGGTGACACCCTAAATCTCTGAGCCATAGAGAATTAGTGAATGACTTGACATTAGTGTTAAAAATCCGGATCATTTTTTTACTGCTGAGTACAGCTGATTTCCACATTGATTCCAGACTATTGGTTGGTCTTGCCGAAGTCAGTATGTATAGTCACAAAAAGTTTCCTTTCTCTTTGATATGCTACTTCATAAATTCTATCAAACTCTACTTCATTTCACTAAAAGACTGAAAGATTATTTGTAGTTTCGAAATTATAAGCTATGGTTAATAAAACTTCAATATATTGGCCAAATAGAGTAACGTACTCATCTCACAATCTGTAACACATTTAGAGTGAATTTACTGAAGCCACGAAGACATCTGGTAGTTGTAAAACAAAACATAAGAACCGCTGAATTCTACTTGATTTTCCTTTCCAATGATTTTATGGTTTATTTCTTTTCATGACCAAAATCTCATAAATATTTCCGAACTAACATTGGTATGCATAATTGCACATACTACTGATTTATTTAAGTAGTTTGGAACCACTCACCTTAAATAATAAAGCTGACTAGGTAGATCGAAGTGATGTAAACGCTGGATAACTGTTTCGCTCACTTTGGGTGGAGTTTATCAGCCGTGCACGAGCAGAATCAGCCTACACCACCCAAATTCTACCACATGGTATGAATGAACCCCAACTTCTCAGTAGTATACACCATCATCTGCTTGTTTTCTCGATTGTCGTTTGTACTATCAAGAAGATTACAATATTTTGATTTGATTATTTTTAGTTTCTGAAGGAAATATAATTTAACTTAGAATTTATTCTTATCTCATCAAACTTTGTGTAATTTACAGATAACGAATATGACCAGTGCTTGCTAACCTTCCATTTGGTCTGGGGTTCAACCCTCTGCCAATGAACTCCTAGACCTCTTTTCACCGGTACAAAAACCCGATAAAAAGGAAAGGCTGTGTGTGAGGCTAGCAACGCCACCCAGTAAAACATAAAACAATGTCTCTACTGAAATCTTAAAGCACAAACTTTTAGCATTATGTTGCACTCACAACCCAAAGGAATGAATAAAATAATTTTTGTTTGTTTTCCTTCACGTTCCCAGTGGAACATTGGGCACCTTCAAGCTAGTGGCTTGAAGTTTCTGTAGCAGTGTTTATTTTTTACAGGATGGGGTTGCTAGCCCCATGCCAAATCTTTCCTCTTTACCATCATTATTTCTGGCTTAATGAAGTAAAGGAGTGCGTCTTTGGCCGGGGATCGAACCCCGTACCATGTGCATGGTCGGTGAGCGTCCTAACCACTATGCCACCGACGCACCGAATAAAATAATAATAAGTATCTATTACAGTCTTTCGAAGGTCGATCATGAATTGGAATAGCTAAGGTGTAACATATCTGACTAAAGTACTGGTTAATCTGAGTTTGATACTCAGGAGGGACATGAGTTTTCCCTGAGTGCTGGTGAGTGCTAACAAACACGAAATCTAGATTCAAGGCTTCCTAACGATAGCCTCCAAACACATCTAGCAAGAATGCTTAATTTATCCATTCAAATATGTAGTTGCCTTAATATTTATATCGTGAATTGGCAGAATTTAGAATTCAAGAACCATCGGATCAGGTCCCAGTTGGTTAGTGGTCTACGAGCTCTCTGGCCTTGTAACCAGAAGGTCCTGGGTTCAAACCCCCGTGGTGGGTGCGTACTGGTGAAGAGCGAACCCAAACTAAGACGAGTTAGCTGTCCAGCACTCCCAGGTTTCCCGCTGAATATCTGACTGATTTCAGCTCATGATGAAATCCTCCATACAATCAAACAAAAATCCCTACAAAACCAGTACTTGAAAATTAATATTTATTCCCTCACTTATCCATTCATTCATTCACTCATCCATTCAGTCAGTCGGCTTTGTTAGGGAATGAATAAAAAAAGAAATATTCTCATTTCAATTTGATTTATTATAGTTGATTGTATGATTGATTGACTGATTGATTGATTTCATTGAGAGATAAATTACTGATTGATGGATGGATGGATGGATTGACTGACTGACTTATAGACTTACTAACTTACTGTAAACAATTTGATAACCTGATTGGTTAATTCATCTTGTCCGAATATTACCAATGTAGGAAAGCAATTTTTATTTTGCTTATTTAAAAAAAAATATGTTATAGCTCTTTTCGGTGTCTTTTCTCTTCTAACTGCTGTTATTGTCGTTGTTGTTGTTTATTAAAATGATATTCGTGTGTGTGTGTGTGTGTGTTTATGTGTGTGTAAGGAGTCATTTGTTACTATCCTCAAAGTATTATTAAATTTCTGATTAGGAGAAATGACGACTGGAGGCGAACTCACAGTTTATATAAATATAAATGTGGATATGGACTCCGCTGATGATATATGTCTGATTTCCCACAAACTGGAAGATTTGCAAGTGAAAATCAACAGGTTGGCAGAAGAAGCATCCAGAGAAGATAGGACTACAGTTGAGCATAGAGAAAACAGAGGTGATGAAGATTCCTAGCCAACACCAACAGCAACAACAGTCAGCATAAATGAGAGGAACCTGAAGGAAACAACCTCCTTTACCTGTATACCTATCTGGGAAGCATCGTTTCAACTACAGGCGGACGGAACTGATGAGGATATCAAAGCCAGAATCGGAAAAGCAAGACAAGCTTTCAATACTCTTAAGTCTGTGTGGAGGTCAACAGCACTCACCATGAATAATAAGATCCAGATCTTCAACTCCAATGTGAAGAAGTCTGTGCTACTCACTATACGGATCAGAGACTTGGCGCGTCATGAAGAGGCCTTCGAGCAACCTACAGACCTTTATTAACAGCCGTCTTCGGTCAATACTCAAGATTAGATGGCCAGAAAGGACCAGCAATAGGGACCTCTGGCAGCGAATCAACCAGGAACAGATTTTGCAACAAATCTGCGGGAAGAAATGGAGATGGATTGGCCATATTCTGAGGAAACCATCAAGTGACATCACTAGACAAGCCATCGCTCGAGTGGAACCCGAAAGGGAAGCGTCGAGTTGGTCGTCAGTGCGAGGATGACATGGAGGAGGTCAGGTGAAAAGGAGATGAAAGCATGTGGGGAGACTTGGAGCGGGGTGAAAAAGTTGGCAGAAAACCGAAGGCAGTGGAGATGCGCAGCTGACGCCCTATGTTCCTCAAGGAATTAAAGGAAATAATATATATATATATATATATATATATATATATATGTACACGGACTTTTGCGTTTATATGTTGGCATCATTTTGAAATTCTTACTGATATACTTTATTAGACCGAAATCCTTAGTCGCTCTTGACAAGTTGACTTTAAGTACCAAGGCTAGAACGACTGGACTGCACTGTAAGGCACTATCGGACTAGTCCTAATGTGTGTGTTAGTGGTTTACAAGGTGAAATACATGCTAACCAACCACTTGGTCCATGGTTCAACTTCCTGGCGACGTACTCCTAAACCTGCCTCAGCTCGCAGTATCCCCAAGGAATAGTAGAGATTAGGAGTGAGGATAGCAACCCAAGTCAGTAGAAATAGTACCACAACTGTAACGGAAACTTTAGAGCTCAGGCTTGAAGCCGTATGTTTCACTCCGAACGCAAGTCAGAATAAAAAGTACAGTTTGGTCTGATTGAGATAAAGCACAGAAAAATTCAAAATTATATTAAA